ATAATGATGATGATGATGATGATGATGATGCTGATGCTGATGCTGATGCTGATGCTGATGATGATGATGCTGATGATGATGATGATGATGATGATGATGTTGAGGTTGTTGTTGATGCTGATGATGATGGTGAAGATGATAATGATGAGCATGCTGATGATGCTGATGCTGATGATGAGGAGGAGACAGACGAGGACGAGGAGGTCCGAGGAGGAGGATGAGGAGGAGGAGGAGGGAGAGGCGGAGGAGGAGGATGATGAGGGGGAGGGATGATGATGAGGAGGAGGAGGAGGACATGGAGTAGGGTGGAGGAGGAGGAGAAGGAGGAGAAGGATGAGGATGAGGATGAGGATGAGGTTGAGGATGAGGAGGAGGAGGGTGGAAGAGGATGAGAAGGAGAAGAAGGAGGCGGAGGAGGAGGAGGAGGAGGCGAAGGAGAAGGAGGGGGGAGGATGGAGGATGAGATAGGAGACGGCGGAGGAGACGGATGAGGAGGAGGAAGGAGGAGGAGGATGAGGAGGATGAGGACGAGGAGGAGGATGGGAAGGATGTTGAGGAGGATGATAAGGAGGATGGTGATGCTGCTGATTCTGATTATGATGCAAATGCTGATGAGGATGATGAAGAGGATCATGATGCTGATGATGATGAAGATGATACTGATGATGATGATGATGATGATGATGATGATGATGATGATGCTGATCATGATGATGATGATGATGATGATGATGATGATGAGTATAATGATGATGACGATGACGATGACGACGATTACGATGACGACGATGATGACGATGGCGATGACGATGATGCTGCTGATGATGCTGATGATGCTGCTGATGATGATGCTGATGCTGTTTATGGTGATGTTGATGCTCATGCTGACGCTGCTGCTGCTGCTGCTGCTGATGATGAGGATGATGATGATGATGATGATGATGATGCTGATGCTGCTGCTGATGATGATGCTGCTGCTGCTGATGATGATGATGATGATGATGATGATGATGATGAGTGACGAATGATGAAGGGGGAGGAGGTGGAGGAAGAGGAGGAGGAGGAGGAGGAGGAGGAGGACGAGGAGGAGGAGGAGGAGGAGGGGAGGAGGAGGAGGAGGAGGAGGGGGGGGGAGGAAAAGGAGGAGGGGGAGAAAGAGGAGGAGGAGAAGGAGGAGGAGGAGGAGGACGAGGAGGAGGATGAGAAGGATGAAGAGGCTGAGAAGGAGAACGAGGAGGAGGAGGGGGAGGGGAGGAGGAGGATGAGGAGGAGCAGGAGGAGGAGGAGGAGGAGGAGGAGGGGGGGGGCGGAGGAGGAGGAGGAGGAGTTGGAGGAGGAGGGAAGAGGAGTGGGGAGAGGAGGGGAAGGGGGAGGGAGGAGGATATGCATCCTAATTGTACCCAAACTGCATCAACGATGTCGCACAATTTGCCCTCTGGGCCACAAAAAAATCCCTCGCTCTTAGAAAACCCCTGCAAAGCCTCTGCGCCACTGCGGGAAGAATGCCCTCGACAAACGAACGCGCCCCCCACGGATCCTACAACCGTAAAGGGGCTTAGGGACACGCGTGTTAAGTAGGCACAAATCCCAATATTCTCCATCAATTTTCCAATGTGTTGCGGGCTTTCGTCTTCCCCCCCGCACATCCCATGCTTTCCCGTATCTTCCTGGGAATCGACGATGCATTGTGTCTGTGTGCTTTTCCTTTCCTGAAGTGAATGTGACGTTCAGAGAGGAAGCCGCTATCTATGCTTGCAGACAGAAGGAAGGTGACGAGTTACGGTAGGATGAGAACGGAGGAAAGAGCATGGACTGAAGATCCAGAATACAATCCGACATGGTGTTTTTTCCACACCGTTGAGCCCCAGAGGTCTGGATCCCTTCCATGGGTTGGCGGCGAGCGGGGGAGAACAAACCAAACGCGCAAACAAACTAATCGGGGGGGCGCAAAGGTGGGGCAGGGGCAAAGGTGGGGTTGGAGGGAAAATCGTCCCCACTGTACTGGGGGGTGGTGCTCTTCACCCCCCCCTTTGGGCCGCCCCCCATGACTCTTAGGTCGGGCATGTCCTCCTGCAGGCGGATTTTGGACACTAAACACAGTCGAGAAGCAAGCAAAAATGGTCAAACATAGCTGAACCATAGCCCCCCGACTGCTTCTCTAGAAATCGTGAACGTTCCTCCTGCAGAGGGGCGTGCCCGACTCAACATCCCCACCCGCCCGAGAGGAGGGACCCGCTCCGCTCCCGCCCCCCCTCCCCCCCCCCCGTGGCGAGCGCGCGGGCGGCTGCCTGGGTGGCAGCCATGGCCGGAGACGTCTGGGCGGCCTCCCCGCTGGGCCGGCAGGGAGGTGCGCGCCAGGGGGGGGGGGGCGGGGGGAGCAGGTGCACAGAGGGGGAGCTGGGGTGGGAGAGGAGGTGGGAGGCGGGGGGAGGGAAAGGGGAGGGAGGGGGGAGGGGAGAAGGTGGGCGAGGAGAGGGGGAGAGGGAGAGGGAGGTTGGAGGAGGGGAGGAGGAGGGGAGGAGGGGGAGGGGAGGCGGGGGGAAGGGAGGGGGGGAGCGGCGGGGGGGAGAGGAGGAGCGAGGGGGGATGGGAAGGGAGAGGAGCGAGAAGAAGAGGGGGGCCGGAGGGCAGGGAGGAGAGGAGGCGGCTCTGGCGCACGTCGGTCGCCAAGCCAGTCAGCGGAGGGACCCAGGCTCCAACTCAAGATCACATGGCCCGCCCCCCCCCCTGCCCCTCCCCCCGCGAGGGCGAGGGTGGCGAGAGGGGTGAGAAGGGGGGGTAGGGGGGAAAAGAGGGAAAGGAGGGGTGGAGATGAGGTGGGGGGAACAAAAAGATGAGAGGGATGAGGGTGGCGGGGGGGCATGGGGCGTGCGACAATGCGCTCGCGCCACGTCAGACATCGAACCTTTCCCATTTCACTGCGCTGGATTCCTTTTTAACCCGCCAACGGGGGTGTCCTACAAGCCTTTGTTCTCCAAACTGGCCCCATCGTGTGATGCGGCGCGGAGGAGGATGACCACGATGCGAACGTTTCGCAATTGGCAGCGCCGAGGGAGCGAGAGGTCCTTTTTGGATGCGCGTGGGTCCGCGCTTCGCTGGACCCCCCAGGACCTTACGGATCTGGCCATAGGTCGGGCATGCCCTCTTAGAGGCGGATTTTGGACGACAGAATTAGATGATAGTTAAACATACACCCCCAAATAGCCAAACATATTGGACTAGGGGTCCCCAGACCCTTTCTTTGACAACTTTTGAATATTCCTCCTGTAGAGGGACAGGCCCGACTTCAATCTGGCCGCCAGTTGCGCAGTCGCCAACATCCAGGGAGCGAGACATTCTGTTGGAATGGGCGGAGGGCCGCGCAACGCTGGACCCACCAGGAGCTCACGGAGGTGGCGACAGTTGCGCAGCTGACAACGACCAGATAGGCGAGGTAGGGTGCAGGAGGAGGGAGAAGGGGACGAGGCGGGAGGCAGGAGGAGAGGAACAACAATGCTCTATGCAAAACGAGGGTCCGACACGGGAGGAATATTCATCTTGCTTCAGGAATGAGATTCTGCATGGAGACTTCAAACATCAACCCTCGGACCCTCTTGCGGTGCGTCCTGGCCGGGACTCTGGTTGGAAATCCACCCGTGGCGACGAGGGTGCCCTATGAGGCACCCACAAGGGTCAAAAAACGCATTAAAAAAACGTTAGGGTGCCCTGGGGGGCGCCCAACAGGCCCTATGAGGAATCTCGAGCCTCGAGAAGGGGGGGAGGGACAGGGAAGGAACCAGGCCCGAGCTGGGTCGACTTGCATCACAGAATGGGATGGGGAATGGACGGGACCGCGCCTCGATCTGAGTGGAATCGGATCTGGATCGGATCGTTCGGGACTGCGGATTGGGACCAGCCCCTGCAGGCCACAGGAGGGAATGGGCTCGTGCCCGATCTGATCGGATCGAAATCAGCCTCGAGGCTTGGGGATCGGACCCGATCGGACCGTGGGCAGCCCTGGGCGGCGGACGGGGCCCTTGAGGGAACTCTCACCAGAGGGATCGGCGGCCGACGGCCCCCGGGTGCCCGAAGCAGGCTCCGCGGAGGCCGAAACCCAGGCAAAACCTCTGGAGGAGGCAGAGGAGGGGGAGGACGAGGAGGAGGAGGAGGAGGAGAAAGCAAGGAGGAGAAAACAAGGATGAAGGGGAGGGAGGAGGCCTGCCGTGATGCCCGACGTTGTGCAAGTGCATGCGGCCCTCCCCTACTTATTCAGGGGCTCTTCGGGGGGGGGAGGGGGGAGGGGCAGCTCACGAGGGGAAACATCGACCTGGAATCGGCGACACATCGCCGATAGATCGGCATCGGCGATAGGCCCCCGATAGGGAACCCGCACGCTCCTGGGCGGAGGGAACCGTCGGGCCTCTGTCGGCGATGACTGGGCGATCGGAGGCCGATGGCCGGGTGTTGCCAGAAGTGCCCCCGGCCCAGGGTGCCCTCTGAGGACTCCCACGGACGCTCCCACGGCTTCCAGAGCACCCCCCACGAGGTCCAGAAGGGCCCCAGGAGCTCAAGGATTGAGCGAAAAGATGGGGGCACCTTGGGCCAGGGGCACCTTTAGAGTTAAGTCGGGCATGTCCTCCTGGAAAATTAAACATCAAGCAGCAAAACAAATAGTTTCAACATCCGCTGGCCCCCTTGCGGGGCCACCAGGCTGCGAGGGTGAGGATTGCAGCTGCCTGTTGCACTTGCAGCTTCCAATTTCCACTGTTACAGTCCTGCTTTCTGCTTCCTCACTGTTAATTGTTGCTGAACGCGCGAGGGGGCGGGGAGCCCCAAACCAGCTTTTTACCACACCCGGATAGCGTTGTCTGAATTCCTGAGGGGGCGTGGAGCGCGTCAAAATATATGATATTTGCGTCCCCGAAGCCATCATCCCTAATGAATCATGCCATATTCGCGTCCCCGAGGCCATCAACCATAATAAATTACACATTAGTCGCGTCCCCGAATCCATAACCCCTTCTAAATTACACAATATTTGCGTCCCCGAAGCCATCACCCTTGTAAAGTACGCAATATTCGCGCCCCCGAGACCAAACACCCGCGCGCCCCCGAAGCCATAAACCTGAGAACATTATACAAGATTCGCGACTCCAGGGCCATAAACCCTTGTAACTTACACCATGCTTGCGTCCCCGAGGCCACACACCCTCGCAAATTGTACAATTTTCGCCCCCGAAGCCATAAACAATAATACATTATATAATATTCGCGCCACCGAAATCATAAAACCTCGTGCATTAATATTGGCCCTCGCGTGAAGTCCCAACATTGCTTCACGCCAGCGTCCAGACATCCCAACACAGCTCTGGCAAGTCCCATTCCAAGAGAGGCGGGCCGGCGGCATGGGGGCGAAGCCCTTACGGAGAATGGAGCAACATAAAAAACAGCAATGCAATAATCACAATAATCGACAATTCGTCCCCGCACCATCTTAGTTTGGACTATTCTGAACTTTCCTCCTGTAGAGGGACATGCCCGACTTCACTTTTAGCAGCCCCCGAGAAAAAGGGGATCGCTCCGACTTGGACGCCCGAAATGGGTACGGAAAAAATGGGTACAATGCCCAACAACAAATGCTGTCCCAAATCAACAGCGGCGGCTGTTGGGCAGGTGGCCTTCTGTCTCAAATGTACACAGGCCGCGGCGATGCCGACAGCGAGCCCTGTTCAAAATGAACAGGAACAGCTGTGGGGCACTGTACCCCTTCCCTCCGTACCCACCTCGATCGTCCCGAAAGGGGATCGCTCAGACGGTGCTGACCCTCGGCGCCCGGCCTGGGGGCCAGCGGCGGGGCCCGTCGCCGCGCCCCCGCCGGGGAGCGCGCCGAGCAGCGCGGCGGTGAGCGACGCGTTGTCGCTGGGGGCGGGGCCTCCGGGCGACCCCCCCGTCCGGGGGGGTCGGGGGAAGGCGCCCTGCGCGTCGTCGTCGTCGTCCTCCTCCTCCTGCTGGCTCCTCGCTGTCCGCCTCCTCCTCCCCCCCCCCCCCTCCCGCCCCAGCCTGCCCCCCTGCTGCCCCCCTCTCGTCCCTCGCCCCCCTGCTGTGGCTTCTCCTGGGTCGCCGGACTTCGCGCGTCGCTCCCCGCGTGCTGCGCGGATGTCTGCGCGCCCCTGCAGGGCCCTCTGGAAGATGCAAGCAGGGAGCCGAGCGCTCATACAAGTTCACGCCTTGCCTCCTCCCTCCCTCCATTCCCTCTTCCATGACGCTCCTCCTTCCCGGCAGGGGAGGGAACGTAACGGGGCGGATCAGTATGACTGAGCGGCGAAGAATCGGGTCCTACGCGAGGCGACATAGCGACCTTAAGACGCGGCTCACGCGAACCGCCAGCATGGCGCTGTACGTTGGAAACGAGGACGCTTGCGCGCGATCTTATGCGGGCAGCTTGCGCGCAAATGTCGGCAGACGACCCCATAGTTCTGCGTCGCTCGACTGTCGAACCTGCGGCTTTGGGACGCTTCCCCCTCGTCAAGTAGGTTGAACGATGCATGAGGAAGGCGTTGGAAGTAGATTGGGTTTCCGCCTGCCTCCTGAAGAAGAGGGAAGAAGGAAACCCGCTCGACTCTTGAAGCAAGTGGATTGGGATCTGGGCATCCAAAGATAGCTGCTTTCAACGGCCGACGTGCAATATTGCCTATGTGGCTGGTGGACTGTTTTTTCACCCATGCCCTTCACAGGGCCGAACAGCCGACAGGATGCTGAACGTTTTCTTATGCGGGGTTTCGACATCGGGAGGAAGGGGAGGGGTCTGGCTTCGGACCTGTGCTTCATGCGACTGCTTGCAGCAGTGCGTCCTTTGGGGGAGACTCACCCTGCTTGAAGCCGGCGCCAAAAACAGCCAAGATCTACTCCACGGGGTGCGAGGGCCCGCGCCGATCGGCAAAACAACGAATTCGAAAACGATCACCTTGCTCGCGCGGCTCCGCCGTCGCCTCGCGCCACACCTCTCGAGCAACGGCAGCTCTCCTGCCTCGGCCGCACAGCGCGGGGTGCGATCCCCTTCTCGTCCCCAGGAGTGACCTGGGAAAGCTGTCGAGCCCAGGTGTTATTAAATGGGGCCCAAAGACACACACAAATAAATATCCACACATCCCAGAATTCCCTATATTTTCCACAATTTTCTGGCTTTTCGTCTTCCCCCACACTTCCAATCTGTTCCCGCATTTTCTGCGGAATCGACGATTAATTGTGTCTGTGTGTTTTCCCCCTCCTGAATTAGCACCTTTTTGGACGCTTTCCGCCCTGTTTGGGCCTCCGTCGGGGGGCTTCTCGCCGCCTGTGCTGGATTCCCCAGCGGGCTCCTGGCCAGAGCGCTCCCCTCGAGAGCAGGCATCACTCGCTGACCGCCCTCTGCCTGGCACGCATGCAGCACCACGGTGCCTGGCCAGGGTTACCCTGGGCCCTGGCGTGGTGTACGTGCGCCCTCATGGCCGACGCCAGGAGGGTGTGTATTGCACCGTCTCAGAGCCTCGATGAAATATATCGAAAATCCCCCGCGGCGGATCCAGGCCACTTGCGAGTAGTTTACTTCGCGAGTCGTGGAACGCGCTTGTCTGTTTCAGGGCCCGGAAAGGGCACCTTTCTTCCCCCCCCATCGATCGCCCTCCCATGAAGCGGTGCCCCAGGTTTCGACTGCGCGGCGAGGGCTTCTCGGGGCGCGGGGCCGCGCAGGAGACCGCAGAGCTCTGGGAGTTCGTGCCCTGCCGACGGGGGGCGAGATTCGGAGGAGGAAAGGGTACCCATGCCGCTGCCCCCTTCGCCTCGTTATTGCACGGTGGCGGTGCAGGGGCGCCTTCTGCGATTCTACGAGAGCCACGACGGCACAAACACACATGCGCACGCGCAACTTCCGGTACCCCGCAGGGACTTCACGGGCCGGCGCTGGACGCCCGCTCCCCTGTCCCCCGAATGAGGGATCGCCTGCAGAATGGATTCACCCCAACATTGATTTTCTCGTCGGGTCCATGGAGCATGCGTAATCGTGTATATATTTATATATGTATAGATAAGAAAGTATATATATATATATGTATATATATATAGTTTCGGCGTGGAAGCTGATGTTATGGTACATCAACTGTGTAGTTGATCCCCTACTCGAATCCCCCGGGTGGCGCCTCAATCACCGCTCTGGTGCGCCCGGGAAAGCCGCGCGGACCTCCAAACGGTTGTTTATGTATGCATTCCTTCTCCTGGCGTGCACCTGGAGGCGGGCAGCAGGTCAACCTCTGCGGCCCCCTCTTTTTCCCCATATCCTAAGATTAACTTCTTGTTACTACTCGGACGCCGCCGGCTCCAAAGAAAACACACCTACTCATACACAGACTTACTCATACTCATACCTACTCATACTCATACCATTTCATGGTCTGACTTACTCAACACACAACATGCAGGCCTACTCGTACTCAGACTTACTCATGCTGGGACTCCTTCATACCCAGACTTACTCATACCCAGATTCGTTCCCAGACCTGCTCATACACAGACTTACTCATACTCAGACCTGCACAACTCAGACCTTCTCATAATCAGAATTACTCAACGCACGGACTGACACCTACTCATACTCAGACTTGCGGTCCACGTGTAAGCGGTCTCTGCGTCAGCCAAGCTTCGTCGCCGGCATTGGCGCCGCGTGGCAACACCTTCCGTTGCCCCCCGCACCTCCCCCCCTCCTCCGCCGCCCCCGCCAGCCGAAGCAGCAGCGGACGTCGCGGCAACTGTGAAGGGCCATGATTAGGCATGGAAGCGTTCGCGCTGGGCATGTCGACGCTGCCTCCGATTTGTAAAAGGGGAGCGCAAACAGTCCCCCAGGATATCCCCTTGCCAGGGGTACAGCGCCCCCTCCAGCAACATGGTAGCGAACCCTTGGAAACGCACGATGCACATCTCCAACTACTCGTTGGGGATAATGTTCATATACGGCGGTTGTGGCGCATATTCGGAAACAGCCGCACTCAGGAGGCTCGGCAAGATTTACCTCCTGGAATTCACGTCCAACGGAGCGCGGTACTCCTGGGACGGTTTTATTCGTGGGCAACGCCCGAACTCAAAGGTCGGCCCTGCGGTCTGCCTGGGCGAGTACCTCCCTGTCTCCTCCATCTCTGAATCTCTGGCCGCTCTCAAGGGAAAAAGCGCGCCTGTCGCTCCCATCATCACGCGTCCATCGCTGTCACCGCGTGCATGACACATTTCATTACTTGATCCAGTCCGTAGGTCCCGATACACTCCAAGGCAAACTCAAGGTCCACATCAGCAACACCATGCGTGGTGCAAGCTGTCGTGTCTCACGGTCGTGTTGCTTGGATCTTAAATTTCGACACCTCGCCCCCAAATTATCGGCCACGCGGCCGGGACAAACGCAACACCACATACCAAAATCACACTTTGTTGCGGCCATTTTGGACTTACTTTTGGGTGTACTGGCGTATCCGTGAATCCATGCCGCACCGCGCCCCAGAATAGGGACTCACAATTTGCTCACTCAAACGACCACACATCGTCAGCACGGGAACTTGCAATTACCTAAAGTTTGGGTGCACCGTCCCATCCGCCATCCCCCCACGCCACGCAAGGCGCTGCAAATGTCACGGGGGCGGTGCGGCGCAGCTGGCGTTAAAACCTTTTAAAGCAGTTTGCGCCCAAACTGGCATTAAAACTGTTAAAGCAGCTTTGGCTGAAAGGATCGCGCGCATGGAGTGCGCGTGCCGGCCGTGCGATGCAACACAACAAATTACATTGGACACTTAGATCTGACACGCGTCTTCCCTCGATCCAACGAGAAATTGTTGGGCTCTGGGGAGGTCCAATTCTTCCTGTCATCCTTAGGGTGGCCTGCTGTGGCGCAGGTCCCCCTGTCAACCCTGGGGTGGAGACGGCCGCAGGCCATATCACGTGGGGTTGAGGCGCCCCCTAAGCCATATCACTTCAAGTCCTCCTCCTCCTCCTCCTCGCCCTTCTG